GGAATACGCGGCGCCATTGGCACATGCAGTGCGGTGGGGATCGATCGCCCCTGTGGTGTATTACAATGAATACAATGTAAGAATAAAAAGACAGAAAAGAAGAAAATAAAATATAAAAAGAAAACAACAAAAACTGCAACCTATAACTACAGCACTAACAACACGCGACGTGGGGCCGCTGGGACCTCTTTGCCCAGACTTCCCCCCCGAAAGAGCCGATGGTTTAGTTCTTCTTCTCAACAAAAATAAAGAAAAGGGTTTAATAATAATAAAACCCTTTTCATTAACTACAACAAAAACAACTCCTGCAAATGCTGCAGGAGTGAGCGGCGGGTGGCGCCCCGTGTGGCCTGGTGAGCCAAAGCGACGCCCCTCTCCCTTTGCCTTTCTCTCTCTGCTTCTGTTGTTATATTTGTTTTAAAAATAACAAATTAAGTTCTTTTTTGATGCAATTAATACATTTTAACAAACAAATACCACAAAAACAAACCGCTAGCAGCCCCTCTTCTCCATATGAGAAAGGCCCTATGCAGCAGCACCTGCTGCTGCTGCCGGTCCTCTTGTTTTTTTATACGGTTGCTATTGGGGCCCTCGGGGGATTGCTGCGGTGTATGTACAGCATAAGTATACAATGCTTCATAAAATAATAAATTTAATACATTTAATTATTTAATATTATACTTTTTAATACAACTAAATACTGCAGCTACTCAGCAACAGACAGCAGCCTCCTGCTCATTAGGGCACCGGCAGCAAGGGCGAGCCCCCCATGCAGGGGGGCCCCTAGGGGGCCCCCCAAGGTACCTCATCTCTCTCCTTTTGCTGCTGGTGTGTTCGCTGCTGTATTTGTATTATTTCTTTTTAATAACATGTACAAACACAACAGCAGCGAGAAGCAGCTCTGCTGCCTCTAAAGGGGCCTCAGCAGCAGGCGGTGTGGCGATGACCCCCAGGGCCCCCACTATGTATGGGTTTGACTGCAGCAGAAGCAGCAGCAGCAGCAGCAGCAACAGCAGCAGCAGCAGCAGCAGGTGGCAGGGGCAATAGCAGCAGCAAGTATGTTAACCCCTATCCTGCTGCGCCCTACACAGCTCTTGCTGCTGCTGCTGCTGCTGCTGTTGCTGCTGCTGTTCTCGGCGCTCCCGTGTGCCTTGTGCAGCACATACAAGCCTCACCTGCCGCTCTGTTACAGCACAAACAGCAGCAGCAGCAGCAGCAGCAAGAGCAGCAGCAGCAGCAGCAGCAGCAGCAGCAGCAGCCCTGTGTGTTTCTCTTACGTGACCCCAAGCCCCTCTGCTGGGATCGGGATCGAGTTGTCTTCACAGCTGCGCAGCCGCCGCTCGTCTGTCTCGTTTCTATCTGCTGCAGCAGCAACATCAGCAGCAAGGGTAGCAACAGCAACAGCAGCAGCAGCAGCAGCAGCAGCAAAAAGGCCAGTAAGGACTGCGACAGCAGCAGCAGCGTCACCTTGGGCTGATGAGGACTCGCAGCGCGACTGGGGCCTTTCTCCAGAGCAGCAGCAGCAGCAGCAACAGCAGCAGCAGCAGCAGCAGCAAGAGCAGCAGCAATATGAGGATCTGCTTGCTGCTGCTGATGGCTCAACAATATATGCATTAAGCAGCAGAAGCAACTGCCCGTCTGCTGCTGCTGCTGCTGCTCAAGGGGCATCTGCTGTTGCTGTATGGAGGATCAGTGGGCCCCTCTCTGCTTTCGTGCTGCAGCACATTCGAGGCTGCGCTCGCTGCGGCGCCTACAAAAACCCTTGCCCTGTACATCCCCCCCCTCCCGCAACCCNCAGCAGCAACAGCAGCAACAGCAGCAGCAGCAGCAGCAGCAGCAGCAGTTGCTGCTGCTGCGAGTCGCTGCTGCTGCCTGCTGCACCGCATGCAGGCCGCGTGTTTGTGTCTCCGCTTTGGGATTTGTTTAGGGGGGGGGCCCCCGTTGATGAGGCTTTGCTGCTTTTCTTTAAGGGGCCTAAGTCAGCTACAGGTAAACCCTAAACCCTAAACCCTAAACCCTTAGTCAGCTACAAGTAAACCCTAAACCCTAAACCCTAAAGTGTGGATATGATAACGGCGTAAACTATGAAAATCCTGATAGTTGAACCACCGGGAGAGATTCAAACGAAGGGTTTAGGGTTTAGGGTTTAGGGTTTTAGGGTTTAGGGTTTTACGGTTTAGGGTTTAGGGTTTAGGGTTTGTGTGTGCAGGAGAAGACGTGGCTGAGGTTCATTCTCATGGGGGTTTAGGGACGCTAGAGGTTTTGTTTAATTTCTTTGAGTCGCTGCAGCTTCTTTCTGCTCCTGCTGCTGCTGCTGCTGCTGCTGCTGCTGCTCCTGCTGCTGCTGCTGCTGCTGCTGCTGCTGGGGTGTATGAGGAGACAAAGACAGCAGCAGCAACTGACGAGACGCAGCTGAAGGACTTAAAAAATATTTATAAACAATTGGTGCATGCAGACAGCAGCAAACTGCCTCTTGATCTCAATGAGCTGCTGCTGCAGCAGCAGCAGCAACAGCAGCAACAGCAGCAGAAGAAACGGAAACTGCAGCAGCAGCTGCAGCAGCAACAACAGCAAAAATGCTGCTGCGCCGAACGACTCTTTGGCATTCTTCTAAACAGATTCGTCGCTCAAAAGCAGCAGCAGCAGCAGCAGCAGCAGCAGCAACAACAGCAGCAGCAACAGCAGCAGCAACAGCAGCAGGAGCAACAGCAACAGCAGCAGCACCAGGCTGTAGGCAAAGCAGCCTCAGCAGCAGCAGCAGCAACACCGTGCGTCTGCTACAGCAGCACGACTGCTGCTGTGGGGGGGCCCCCCACGGGGGCCCCCTTGGGGGCCCCCTGGGGGGCCCCCCAGGGGGCCCCCAGGGGGCCCCCCGTGAATGCATGCATTCGACTGGCTCGGCCTGGAGAGTTTGCGCTGCGGTCTTTTCTAAACGGAAAGAAAACTGTGCAGCAGCTGCATGCACTTGGAGCTGTACTGAATGTAAACCCTAAACCCTCAAACCCTAAACCCTAAACCCTCAAACCCTAAACCCTAAATTTTTGGTGATGGATTTGTTGTTTGTTGGTTTATATTTATATATTTTGTGCATTGTGCGTTAACACTTCAATCTACTACTCTCTCACTTCTAGGGTTTAGGGTTTAGGGTTTAGGGTTTAGGGTTTAGGGTTTGTGTACAGGCAGGGGCCCCCGCGCAGGTATCGCATGCAGCTGGGAGGCTGGTGGGGGGCCCCCAGCAGCGGGGGCCCCTAAAGAAGTGGCAGAGGGTACTGGGGGGGGCCCTTTGTGCTGTTGAAGCAGCACTAACTATAGGTGATGATATAGAACAAACAGATGCTGCTGCTGCTGCTGCTGCTGCTGCTGCTGCTGATCCTGCTGCTGCTGCAGTCCTCGATGATATACAAAAAGAAATATATAAAATACAAATAAACACACATACACAAAACGAAGCGAAAATACTGCTCCTTGGGGCCCCCAATGCAGGTAAACCTAAACCCTAATAAACCCTAATAAACCCTAATAAACCCTAAACCCTAGTAAACCCTAATACACGCTAAACCCTAATAAAGCCTAAACCCTAAACCCTAGTAAACCCTAAACCCTACTAAAAAATTGTTCGTTATCTAAACCCTAATCCTCCTTCGATAGGCCCTACGACCAGAAAAACCTCTGCACCGCCTAAACCATAAACCCTACTAAACCCTAAACCCTAAACCCTCCTAAACCCTAAACCCTACTAAACCCTAAACCCTAAACCCTAAACCCTAATGGTTTGTTTGTGATTATGTCAGGGAAGAGCAGTTTATACAATTTGCTGCTGCAGCGAGAAGCAGCAATTGTATCAGCAGCAGCAGGAACGACGCGGGACCTCCTCAGCAGCAGCATCTGCTGCAGCAGCAGCAGCAAGGGTTTATTCAAGCTGCAGCTAACAGACAGTGCAGGACTCAGATCTGCTGCTGCTCCTGCTGCTGCTGCTGCTGCTGCTCCTGCTGCTGCTGCTGCTGCTGCTGCTGCTGAGAAGGTGAGCCCCATTGAAATAGAAGGAATGAAGCGGGCTCTAGCAGCAGCACGAGAGAGCGATCTGCTGCTGCTGCTGTTGGCAGCACAGCCGCAGCAGCAGCAGCAACAGCAGCAGCAGCAGCAGCAGCAGCAGGAAGAGGCGCAGCTGCAGCAACTGCAGCAGCAGCTGCAGCAGCTAGGAGAGGCCCTGAAGGATGTCTTCAGCAGCAAAAACAAAAAACCCCACATCCTCATCGTCGTCAACAAAATGGATTTGCTGCTGCCCAGCCAGCAGCAACCATCCAGCAGCAGCAGCAGCAGCAGCAGCAGCAACAGCAGCAGCAGCAGCAACAGCAGCAGCAGCAGCAGCAGCAGCAGTGAATGTAGCAGTATGCCTGGAAGCGTCAGCGGAGATCATTCTAGTGGCAATTTCAACCAGCAGCAGCAGCAGCAGCAGCAGCAGGAGCAGCAGCAGCAGGAGCAGCAGCAGCAGCAGCAGCAGCAGCAGCAGCAGCAGCAGGAGTCAGCAGCAGCAGCAGCAGGGAGTTTGCTGCAGCGCTTAGATATGAGTTTAGATAAGTTGCTGCCTCCTTCTGTTGTTCCTTTTGTTTTATCTTTTGGTGTTTCTGCTGCTGCTGCTGCTGCTGCTGATGGCTTGCTGCTGCGGCTGCTTCCTATCTCCTGCCGCAACAAACTCAACATGCAGCAGCTGCTGCTGACGCTGCAATCGATCAGCAGCAGCAGCAGCAGCAGCAGCAACAGCAGCAGCAGCAGCAGCAGCAGCAGCGGGGGAGAGGCTTTATTTTGTTTACAAAGCGAACGCGTGCTGCTGCAGCAGCTGCAGCAAACCCTAATTCATTATATGGGGATAGAAGAAGAGGCCCTGGAGGAGAAAGCTGAGGACCTCAGGTAAACCCTAAACCCTAGACCCTAGACCCTAAACCCTAAACCCTAAACCCTAAACCCTAGACCCTAAACGTCAGGCATTGAAAGAGTGTTTACAACAAACAAATAAACCCTAAACCGCTGCAGCAGAAGCAATTAGCTTCGCTGTGTTTCTGCAGCCCATATAAGGGTTTAGGGTTTAGGGTTTAGGGTTTAGGGTTTAGGGTTTAGGGTTTAGGGTTTATGTGCAGGTTCGCGCTGCGCCTGCTGGAGAAGTTGACAGGTATAGAGTGGCAGCCACAAGAGGCCATCAGTATAATTCAGAAAAATTTTTGCCTCGGCAAGTAGCGAGGGTTTAGGGTTTAGGGTTTAGGGTTTAGGGTTTGGGGTTTTGAGGGTGGCGCCGCAGCATCGATGCCGCTCGAAACCCTAAACCCTAAACCCTAAACCCTAAACCCTAGAATGCTACAGCAACAAACCAAAAACTGTTTTGGGTTAACAGCGTGTGTAGCGTGTCGTTTCTAGGGTTTAGGGTTTAGGGTTTAGGGTTTAGGGTTTGGGGTTTAGGGTTTAGGGTTTAGTCCCTCAGGCAGATGAAGACTTCGATAGAAGAAACTCCACCACCTCGTCCATGCGAGTGAACTCCTGCACGCCGCACACACCAAACCCTAAACCCTAAACCCTAATAAACCCTAAACCCTAATAAACCCTAAACCCTAGAGGGTTAGTGAAGCCCCACACCGCCCACCGCCTAGCTAGACCGGTCTCGCTCTCAAATCCTAAACCCTAAACCCTAAACCCTCGAATTGTTTAGCTCTCAGGAGATATCTACGACTGCGGGAACCAGCCATTAGGGTTTAGGGTTTAGGGTTTAGGGTTTAGGGTTTGTTACGCGTGTCCACTGATCCACATGTAGATGTTCTACAT